AGCAGGATGAACTATGGGAAGCTTTATTCCCATGGGAAGTTTTATTCCCAGAAACAGCAGCAGGCAACCAAACAAATTGGATTACTGGGCCATTAAGTACCTAGCTACAGTTTTACTTATAGATCAGCATATGCTTTTGCCTTGCAACCCAAATTTTATGGGGCCAGACTGCCAGGTACCCAGGAAAAGAGATTTTCTGTTCACCTTTAGGAAGCAAATTCAGCAGCTCACGTGGTTTTACATTCTGAACATGCCTGCTAGTAATACTGACTGTATGCAAGTGTGTTACAGCAGCACCGAGTCCTCAACTCGCAGTCATTTGCCACAGCATGCTCACAACCGAAAGATTTATGATCTGCTTAAACAATCCTAGCCCACTGTTTAATGTCAGTTACATGAATGGCACTGCTCCAAGAAGAGCAAGCAAATGCCTCATGTCACCACACCACCACAGAAGACAGCGGCTGCTGCAGCAAGGACATGCCTGGCTCCGCAATGTGCCAGCCTGCACTGGGAACAGAGCAGAGAAGATTCATTTCAGCTCATGTAGCTGCAGACTGCTCCAGACCACTGGGGTTTTCCCAAGAAAGCCCATTCCTGTGCTTACATGCAGTTTCGTGAGATCTAAGACATAAAACAGCCCAATGACTGAGATTAAAAATGCAAGAGACAACAAACCTCAGGGCTGAGATAGGTTCTGCCAAGAAATCTTGTAGCTATGTGTCTTCTACACAAGTATAGTTTTTAGGTGACCAAAAAAAGCATACTGCCAGTGGTGCACCAGCATTGCCATGTTTATATCCCACATACGTGGTCAAGGAGCTGAGGAAGCAGGGGTCTCATTCCTCTCAGTAAAAACCCTCAGCTCTCAAGTTCTCTGACCCTGAGGGTTTTGTCTCAAGAAGACCACCACAAAGGCTGAGCCTAGAGCACCAGCTGTAGTCTCTGCACATGACAGACTCACACAGAAGCTGTAGATCCTGAAAGACTGTTTTAAACTTCTAAATCCTGTTTTGCGGCCATAACTCTTTAATAGAAAAGGGCTATCTGCCTGCAATATCAATCACTACGGAATTAAATAAACGTGGTGTTTTGCCACATGAAAGATGCCTCTTGAGCTCTGGCACCAGACAATGCAACTGGAGAGAAATTAGAGAAACCTTTTCTTCCTGTGGAGGCAGCTAAGACCCAAGCTTGCCTGTGCCTAAACAGTTGCATGTTTAGAGAAATCAGTCACATTACTCATTGATAAGCCATTCCTAGCTAGCCCGTAAGTATTTAGCGCATTGAGATGCTGTACTGGCACATAAAGCAAGTGAAGCCTCTCTACAAGCATGATTTCAGAGCCAATAGCCACTGGACTAGGAAACCCCGCATTACAGGCACGGAATTTTTCCAAACAAAAAAAAAAATGTATCACTTTCAGGTCCCTATGCTGAGATCATTCAGAATTTGAAAAGTGAAACCAAATGTTCTTCCAGGGCATTACAAACAGGTCCCAGAGAATTACTCCACATCTCCTTTGTAAGAGAAATAAAAGGAAATTATGTAAACCCTCTCTGCTTTCACTGAACGCTATTTGAGTTTCTGAGTGGGTTAAGCAAGCCAGGAATTTCCAAGACAAGCTGCAAGACTGCCTGCAGAGATGTAGCCACAGCCATGATTACAGGTCAGGTTTTTCACTAAAAGCCCAATTCTAAAACACGTTGAGACAAAAAGACCGAATTAGGCAATAAATTTATTTTCTAAATAAAGCAGTAGCTCACAGAAAGGTTTTCCCCCCTACAATTTCACTGATGTAAGGCAAATCAGCTATCTGTGCTTATTTCTGGTAAGTTCAGACAGGCTGCTAGGTACCAGGGAGTAGCACAGTTTTATGGCAGCTTGTTGTTAGCTCAGTTACAGCCAGACGAACTAATTTAGGAGGACTAAAGATGCAACTCAGTCCCTGTCGTGGCTTGGCCTCAGCCGGGAATAAAGAACCAGGCGGCCGCTCGCGCAACTCCCACAGCCGTGGGCAGAATCAGAAGGAATAAGGCAGAAACTCGTGGGTTGAGATAAAAGCAGTTTAACAGAACAGCAAAAGCAAGAGAAAACAATAGCAGTAACACCGGTAAAGGAATATACGAACGCGATTACAGCGCCGCCGATCCCCGACCGGACCCGCACCGCCGCAGCCCGCTCCCCGCCGCGACTTCCTGCCCCCTCCCCCGGCTAGCTCCCCCCCAAACCCGGGCATGGCTCACGTGGTGTGGGATACCTGTGTCCTCTGCCGGCTCCTTGGGAGAATTAACCCCATCCCTGCCGGAACCAGGACAGTCCCCCACCCACAAGTACCCAACCATTACTGTGTTCACCATGTGCTTGACTCCTCTAGCCGAGCTTAAGCTGAACAGAAATAATCCTATTTCCGCGTCCTGATTTTAGCCACCTGCTCGCCATGGCTCTTTGACACCACTGAAGATATTTGACAGCCAGGAAGGTGGAAACCACAATCATCAACACATTGCCTCCTTCCCCAATTTATAACTAGTCATAGTTATAGTTCCTTTAAAAAAAGAATAAACTCCTCTGATGTTGAACAGACCAGCCTGGAAGAAGATTCAGCCCTTTACAGGCATTTACAGCTACTGCACAAGAGTTTCAACCTCTAAGTTACACCACGACACGTTTTAAGAGTATTGCCACCAGCACAGTCCCTTTGGTTCCTCTTTTACTGCCTTCCCCCATGCATCCTCATTAGTACATGCACTTCAAGTTTCTTATTTTTCTATTTGGATAAGGCAAAGCCATATTGACATCTACCTATGCCAGAAAAATAACATCTTACTAGATACTATGTTATCTGACTGAAAATTGAAACCTAATGTTTTTACCAACTACTGAATTAAGTCCTGATTCAGCGGCTATGAATAACTACCACAGCGACTTTGTTTCTGGAGACCTTGCCATGCACTTGACTTGACACTTACACATTAATATCATCTCCCTCTCAGCGGGGAGCACTAACACAGGCATGACTCCCTCCCAGCTTCAGCTGTCTAGAAATTCAGTATTTATTCCAGACTAGCTGTATATGACGCTTCTGTAGTCTGACACTGATGTCTTCTACTCCTCTCACACTGACAGAACCTAGACACCTGATTTTTAGGCAGCAAGGGTACAAATGGTGCAGAGAGGCAGTGGGGGGAAGAGCACACATGCTTTTTCCTGGAAAGCCACCAGCATCACAACTGACCTGATTTGGGGAAATCAGGAGCAGCAGGAGCTTTTACAGTGGCGAACAGAAAGCGCAGCTGCTTGGTGTTTCCGCAAGTGCCAGCTAAAGATAATTTTTTACTTTAAGACATCACAAGCTTAATGCAAGCCCTATGAAAATGCAGCATCAGTGAAACTGAGCATCCCTTGCAAACTGTATTTAAGATCAGATAAAAAGGTAACATTTAAGTTTTTAAACAACTTTGTGCCTTTTGTTTTTTTTTGTAATTACCTGCTACAGCAAGCTCACAGACAAGCTCCCACTGCCTCTGCACAGGCACCACGGAGGTCTCCTGCAGATCACCCACCCTGCCCCGGTAAGAGCTGCAGCACCTGCGGACAGCACGAGGCCTCCTCATTCCCCTTTGTCACAGGGGTAGCCAGGCTCCTCACTGTGCGCATCATCGTGTCCCGTGTCCCGCAGCTGCACGCCTGACGAGTGCCTCCCACCAGCGTGCCCCTTACGACGCCAGACATTTAACACACAAGAAAGCCAACAAGAACGGGAACTGCAGACCCGCTGCTGGCTTAAGTGTTAGTATCTAATCCCACAAAATGCCCTTTGCTGCTTCTAGCACATCAAGCGTTTATACAATCCATCCAGTGGATTC